TAAAATAATTGTAAAAAAATAAAGTTGGCTACTTTGCAGATTTCACCTATTGCTGGTTATTTTTAGACACCCGCAATAAACGAGAGAACACTATATACAAATACTAAGAAATATAAAATTTGAATCCTTTTTCTATTTTGCCCTGAGGCGAGGGGGAAAATATCGACAAGTCGATGAACATCATCTACAGATATATTCGTTAAATGCTCAAGACATCTTGAGAAATGTAAATCGCCGCTTGATTCATCCATTTGGTTGACCTGTTTTTGGAAAACCCGACCGTAAACAAGGTGCGAATATCACACCGGAAACGAAGCGCCTTACAGGAGTTTCCCCACCGGAAGTAGCATATGCTAAAGTGCACATAATCTATAGCTGCATGCTGGTGTTATTTTGGAGTTTAGAGGAGCAGTGAATCTAAAGAGCATGGTTAATGGCACTAACAACTAACATTAGAGTTTGTTTTGATCTCATTTTTTAATAGTACTCTTACGCAGGGTTTGAAATGTCTAGTTATTTGAAAAATAGAAAGTAAAATAAAGGATAGAAAGTGGGGAACACCTCCGAGCAGGTTCATATGTGTCTCGATAAATGTATAACGGGCTTATCAAGACCTCACCTTTAGGTCGGACACATCTTTGTAGCACTTTTCGGAACGGGTGTGGTCAGACAGCTGGACGTTCCAGAAGCAAGGCAGCTGATGAACCAGGAACGGGTTTTGTTTGATCACTGCGTTAAAGATATCCTGCAGACACAAAATCATATAAGATATGATATCCCCACACAAAAACCCCCACATATTTAGGTTGTCCATTCTTTAATCTGCTGAAAGAGATGTGTCTTCCTGAATGTTTTAAATGTGGTACAAATGCTAACTTAAAGAACGAAGTTGGAATCCGCTTTGTGAGTATTTTTCTGTGTTTAATTGATCGATTTCGATTTTTTACATACATGAATCATTTATCATCATCAGCAACCGGAGAGCTGGGAGGGATTACTACCTGCCTCGTGGTTTTATGTTTAATAAAAAGCAAGTGAAAAAGATATTCTGGAATCTTACTGGTCTGGGCCCAGTTTCATAGTTCTGACTCAGCCACCATCCTGTTAAGTGTGCTGTATGTATCCAGATGTTCATCCTTATACAGTCCATTTATTCGTACACTCACTCTCATAAAGCGAAAACTTGAAATTGCTTTGAGGAAATGAAGTCTGGTTACATCTGACAGACTTTTCTTTAACTTTGAGATTTTTGAAAACTCACAAAGCAAAAGCCTAAGTGGCAGCTTTAGCTTCCTAATGGGAAACATAAAAACTATTTAACCATGTAATGAATACTACAATAAAGTGGGCTGACGGTCCATGGAAGGAAGTCATATAGCAGAAGGCAGATGGAAAGCTGAAAGGAGCCTGCTCCTTTTCCAAACTGCCTACCTTGCGGGAATTTTACTTAATGAAGGTTTAATTTAACTCTCATAACCATACCTCTCATCTAGACAAGCTCTGAATAACTAAACGGAAAAAGGATAACTTCACAAAGCTCTCAGTGTTTGCCCTGTGACTGTTGGTGTGGAACAACTCAAAGAGTATGATAACATGTCTTTGTGACCACTGGCACATAGGTATGCCCAAGTGGACTGTGGAAACTGTGAAGACCACTAACATATACATGAAGAGTTCTATCATCCTGGCACAGGCACAATGCAGGACTCCAGTTATTTAGTATATTTAGTTTTGCAAAAGATCCAAACATTAAAGTTTCAGAGGAGAAAGAGTCTTATAAGTTTTATTTAGCTTGTAGGTGTCTTGAGTCAGCTGACAGTCACTGACAATCCAAGAGGAGAATGGATCCGGCAGTAGCTGAAGCAAAAACTCAGGTGTGGCAGGAGCTCATTGGTATGGGCCATTAGGTCCCTGTACAACTGTAGTGAAAGCTCTCGATCCAGCAGTAAGTCGGACCCTTTGTTATCAATTCTGTTCCTAAATTTTATGACCAACATTTTTAGGTGAGGCAAGTGACTTTATAGGCAGTGACCTCCAGCTCCCACTGGGTGATTTGCAACCAAGTTTTAAAGCAAAAGAAATGAGAATTGCCACCTCTAAATCTGACACTATTGTTCTCAGATGGCAAAGGGCTGCATGCAGCTAAGGGAGGAATCGCTGTTTATTTTGACGTCCTATTTACTGAGCGAAGAGTGAAGCAGGTCACTGACAAGTTGAGGGAGGATGTCTATAAATAGACACCTGCCTCTGTAAGTTGGACCCAGATAAGCGTGAGAAAATGGATGAAGGTTAAAACTATATCTTTTGAGATACAATGTAAAGCTGGGCATACACTGTGCAATTTTGGCCCATTTTGAGCCGATTTTTCAGTCGTGCGACCATTTTGGGGATCGGCCCGAGTTTCGCCTTAATCGTGTGTTGTGCATCGTGTAGGTCGTATATGTGGGGTAACAAGAAGCGATTAACACCTCACGACCAGCTCCCGATCAACAATCATTTGGTCGTAAGAAAATCAAACATGTTTGAAATCCTGTCGTGAGGGTGTCACACTGCGCACGCGCAAACACAGAAATGAAAGTGAAAAGACGGAGCAACACGGCAGCGCAGCGTATGATGGAGGCACAACTTGTAGAACTTTGGCAAGCTCATCTGGGTCTTTTCGATGTGGCCTCACAAAATTATCACGACCACAACAACCGTGAAAAGAGTTGGATTTACATTGCTGCTCAGTCACAGCTGCCTGATCAATGTTTTTAATTAGCAATTTAGCAAAGTTGATGGTGGTGTGTGTGTGTGTGTGTGTGTCTGTGTGAGTGAAAGACAGAGAGGGGGAGCGAGAGGCAGAATTTGTGTTATAAGCTTCATGTTATGGACGCACACAGTGTGAGCACTCAGGTCGCATCAGATCAGGCCGTATAGTGTGAGACGCTGCATCGTGACCTACGAACTTCTAACCCCTGCGACTCAATCGTACAGTTGGAGCAGGAGCTGAATAGCGCGACTGAAAAAATTGCACAGTGTTTGCTCAGCTTAAGACTAACGCCTGATTTAGACTTTTGCAGGGAACCTTTACCATTACGTGTTCATGTTCCAGTGTTTCAACTGTGATGTCAGCCAATTAAAAAAAAGAAAAATGCTGGTACTTTTCTCTCCCAGGTCCCTGCTCTTTGCTGTGGCCAGTGAATTTTTGGTGGTTTTCTTGGGGGGGAAAAAACAATAGTGGATCACTGACCTTCAGAACCATTTTCCAAAGGGGGGGAAACCCAACCTCTGACCCCAAAAGGGCCAGAGTTGATTTTGTTTTCCAGTAACTGCTGTCACATCATTTTGTTGTCAACAAATTAAAGAAACATTTGAACAGTTCAATCATCAATATCCAACATGTCATTGTTTTGTACAGTCTATAACCTTTATTGACTGCAACATTTGATACTCATACTAATTATACACAACTGAAAATCTTTTTTTAATGACTTTTATTATAATGGCAGGTTTACCCACCAGTCCCGACTACCTTTTCCTGGTGATTTCATCCAGTACCAGAGTGAGATATTCCTATTCAGATTTTAACTGTCACTGAATGCAGAGTTGTCAAATTGAAAGGACATTTTTATATTGGTGCAGCACCATAATGCTGTGCTGTCAGTATATGAAAGCACAACAGGTTTATTTAATTATGTAAGTCCAAAAATACTACTTTCAAATACAGCTGTTTTCACAATTTAAATGACACAATTGTGATGTGAGCTATGACAGTGTGTGTGTGTGTGTGTGTGTGTGTGTGTGTGTGTGT